TTAGAAACTCGAACCCGGTCACCGACCGGGTCTTATAAACTAATAATATAGAAGCCTAAGAGTTAATAACATTAAGGTCTAAGAATTAGCAAAAAATTAGGAACTCAAACCTGGTCACCGACCGGGTCTTAAAAGCTAGTTTTCTAATCATCTAATGTTGACTCTCCGTCACGTAATCGTAGAAAAATTTCTCTAAATCCTTATTGCTCTCTAGAATTTCCAAATTGCCATTAAATAACATCAAGTTTATATACTTTACGAAATTGATTATACGCTACAATACCACCATTAGATATTGGGTTTCGTGAAATATTAGTTGCATATATAGGAAGGTTAAGAACAGGTGGAAGCTGGCCAAAATCTCCACAAATAATAAGCGATCACCCGCCAAAGGGTTTATCTTTATGCTCAGAAAAAGTTTGTTGTAACCGAATATTGATTAAATTAAGCATTCGACACCCAACTATACTTTTCTTATATAAAATAAAATACTTTACATTTTGTAGCTTGTTTTGTAGTCGTTTCAACTATTCACTATCATATCAAAATTATTACTTTGTATTGGAATACAAAGTGTTGAGTGAATAGTTGCCCCTTGAATATTGTATGTGGCAAATTCCATTGGCGCAAATACGAGTATTGGTGGTTCGGATTCATTCTCTGCCATCTTACAAAATCTACCTCTAATAGCTTTAATGAGATGTGATTTACCAGTTCCGGCAGTTCCCATGACAATAATTCTTAATGGTTCAACCTGACAACCAGAAATTATACTTTGGTAATGTGCCTCTACTCGGTCAAAAACTTTTTTTTGTTTTTCATTTAAAGTTAGATAATCTACAGTATCTATATCTACATTTTTACTTCTTTCTACTCTAGAACTACTTGATGCTCTATGCAAAAAAGTATCAACGTCTGTAAGATCATCATTAAGGTAATGTTTTTTTGCATTATTGACCCAGTCACAATTAATATCTATATTACGAGATCCAAATTCAGAGAAGCAATTAATAATTACATTTGGACCCATTCCCACCAATTGCATTCAATCAAGTTGCAATTCGTCGTCATCATTGTCTATTTCTTCACCTGAATCTTTTCGACAATTTCATTCTCTATTTCATTTACTGGTGGACCAAGCAAGTCCATTACATCAAAATTAATTTCTTCTATGTAACAGCTATATAATTCTGACATCCTATAGCACCATCTTCAGTTAACTCCTAAAAACATCTATGCCTAACATAAAGAACAGCTTTAATACGACAAAACTCCTCCCATTGAGGACCGTCGCATAAGGGTGATGGCCGTGGCCATATACGTATAACATTTTCTTTTGTACATTTTTTCCAACAACCATTAACAAATTTATGCGTCAAATATAATTTATATAACAAGAAGTTTTCTAAATCTAATAGTCTTTCACTATATTTTTTTAAAGGTGATTGTGATATTATTCCTGTATTTGTGATATACACAAATTCAGTGCCTTCATCACTACCAGTACTACGAAGCCATCGTGGTACTTCTTTATTTACATTCAGAGAAATAAATGATCTACTCGAATGATGCTGAGGAGAAGATGACAAGTCTCCTGTGCTGAAATATCATGTTCTGCGACACTATGTATTAGTAACTTTTGAGCTACCGGAAGCACAGAGCCATCAGATCTACTATTTAATATAATCAGATTTAATATTTCAGAAAACATAGCAGAACATGGCTCTGCCTTACTTGCATATTTAGAAACATATTGCAAGGCTGCATGTGTAATTAAGATTGGTTTGATGTTCACATTTGCTCTCTAGTCTTGAAGTTGAAGCCGGTTATATGGATTAATATGTAGATCATTTCTTGCCATAACAAGCTCTGGTTCTCCACGATTATCTTCGTGCAAAAAAGTGTGCTCATAATTCTCTTTGGGAAAACTGAATCTATATAATTGCTAACCAGCTCGGTTTACACGAATACAATATGCAGGACTGCATCGAGTATGCTGTTGTAGCTTATTGATCAAGTCGATGTAGTCTTGTAGGTCATCATGTATCTCAGTATGGCGCTTCTGGCATGGATGAAGGTCAGGTATTGGTGCATTGAGTCCTGGATTGATCGTGGTGACAAGTGAATCGAGGTATTGTATTATTTTATTCATTGTATGTTCATCCTCTTTCATTTATTTTCAATCAATAATGGGCATATTTCGTCTCTTTCCAATACCATGTACATGAACACTACCATGATGCTGCCACTCAAACCTATACTACCAATCCTCCAAATCCCATCGTCGTTTTAATACATCGTTAAAGAAAATTTCAAAGCATTTATTAAAAAACCAGTCAGCAATATGTGGATTATTAATAATATTTTGACGACAATGTTCTGCAGATCCATTTTCTGCCTCTGCATAATTTTTCCCGGATTGTATAAGTTCATGGAGTTCCGGCCAATGCATATCAGCAGCACTAAAAGTGAAAAAAATTAACTCTTGCGAGCCCAATTGCTTTATTATATCTACTAATTCACATCGTTTTGCGATCCAAAACTGTCTAGATCTACGTAGACCTACTCCAAATCGCATTATTCGGTCTGCCATGTGTACATCACCTTCAGCGATCATATTTTAGATATCACCAATGGTAAGCTGATCATCATTTAAATTCTGTCTAACGTAAATTTTTCTTTCTTGTAATGCTCTCAATCGCATTTGAGAATTTAATGCAAAATAGCGCCAACAAGTGTGACGAGCAAATCTCCTATCTTTAAATTGAAGCAGGTGCTTAAAATATTCTGCCGGCTTGACCTCTCTAGCGCGTTCTGTATAAAAATCTGCGCAGCCTGTTGGATATAAAGTTGGAAACGCTCGTGCAATATACTCTAGAGTTTGGAATTCGTTAATAGGGAAGTTGTTGATTTGTGGCTATAATGTAGGCGGGTTTTCGGACTCTATACGGTCAAGAGCACTATTAATTGCAATGTCCTCATGATTATTTGGTGGGAGTAAAGGTACGAAAGTGCATGTAACTTCTTCTCCTTCATTTTCATTGATTAAATCATCGTCCGTTTGGTTTGTTTGGAGTTGTGGAAGCTGGTTATCGATACAACCATCTTGAGATAAAGATTCAAGAACTTTATTATCAATAGTAATGTCCGTATAATATTGGTTATTTGCCTTTAACTAATGTAGTGCATTCACAACGATATTACGGTGAACTTTAAAATCTCTAAATGCAGTTAGATCATTGGCAGATTCCCGACAAACAATTAATAAGTTTAATGAAAAAGGGTGTCAAGGAAATCGTGTGATAAATTCTTGCACGTTTTGAGGGAAGTTTATAACATTCCTCTATATCCATCTTGTCCTCCACGAAGTTTATATACTGACATTACAGTAAAAACTTGTGCTATCAACATTTCTTCTATTTCCGTTAGACCTTCAAGCTCATGAGATATTTCACCCGGGTCCATATTATTTTCTGCAGAGAACCTTTTTGGTAAACTCTTTTTAGACTGACACCGCCGGCACATTCCTCTGACAAATATTATGGATGAAAAGGATTCATTATATATAGGGCAGTAAGTATACTTAAACTTATTTATTTTACTGCGAAAATTTCGCAACATTTCTTGTTCTAACTTGCTAAGAGTTGTAGATAATAGCGGCTCAACATTTACATTTTTATTATTTTCAGGTATAGTCGTGCTATTTTCTTCACTTCAAGATATAATATCAATGCTTTCATCAGTTTGATTTATGGTTACTGCTATTACAGGCTGTTCCGATTTTTGTCGCAAATTAACATTTGTCCCGCTATTTTTTTCATTTTGAGATGTAGTAACGTCAGTTTGACTTATGGTTACTGCTATTATAGGCCATTCTGATTCTTGCTGCAAATTAGCCGCTTTTCTACGTTTTCGTTCTCAATCACGTGCAAGCCGCTCCTCACGTTCTTCAGCACCTTTTTTTCTTAACCTTCTATTTTGATCACTCAAGAGACGTTCTCGGCACTTCTCAGGTAACTCACTCTCTCTATTTTTACATTGCCTGTGCGTACTGCTATAAATAATAAATTTGGTTTACAATGATACTAACTTTTAATTAAAAATTCATCATATTAATTAGGAAAATATAAACATACACTGTATCTGTTGTATCTATCACTGAAAAAGTAAATTATGGGTATATGGTTCAAATCTAATAAGGATCTAGTCTCGGGTTTTGAAAGTTTATATATGAAAATAATATTTCCACAAATATAAAAACTTTTCTTAAAGATAAGATCTTGAATATCTTTGCTTTTGATTAAATGTCAAACCTACCATTTAAATACATTTTTGACAATTTAAATTTTACTTTATACTGCAACCAAAAAATCGATCCACTTTATACCAGTGTTTTAATCTGTCTTCTAATCTGTCTTTGAAGTCGTAATTTTCATGCGATTCTGCTTCTTGGACTTCTAATCTGTCCTCAAACTCGAAATTTCATGCGCTTATACTTCTTTTACTGATCCGCTTGACTTTGTATATAGGTTGACTTATTAAGCATAGCTCAGATCTTGTAATAACTAGATAAGTAAATTATATTCTATTTTTGGTGATTTTTTAACAGATACTCATTTTACCTTTTTCTGACATTACCAAATTCATTATTAGGTATGTACGTACGTACGTACTTATAGGTGGTATCTAAATATGGAAGAAACTGCAAAAGAAAAAAAAATACCAAATCACATGCTATTTTGCTCTTGTAGCTAATTTCCTTCTTCATAGGTAAGCACTGGTAATCATGTATTCATCAGTAGTAATTCTGTTTTCTTTTTTATGCCTTACAACTCAATTTATTAATTTTTAGGTTTTATATACTGTATGTCCACAGACCGAATAATAATTTAATTTTGCAATGATAAGTAACAACTCATCCCGCATTACGCCAATATTCTAATCTGTACTCGAAATCGTAATTTTTATGCACTCATATTTCTTTACTGATCCACTTGGCTTTGTATATAGTTTGACTTATTAAGCATGGCTCAGATCTTGGAATAACTAGATAAGTAAAATATATCCTACTTTTGGTGATTTTTAGCAGACACAAACTCATTCTTAGGTATATACGTACATACATACATATTAGCTAAAACTTCTATTTACTAATATAGAGGTGATGTCTAAATATAGAAGAAGAAACTGCAAGAGAAAAAAGAAATCACTGGATCACGTGACATTTTCTCTTATTAATTTCCTTTATAGGTAGCACTGGTAATCATGTTTTTATCAGTAGTAATTTTGTTTTCTTTTTTATGCCTTACAACTCAGTTTATTAATTTTTAGATTCTATATACTATATGTCCACAGACCGAATCAACTGGGTTGATAATTTAATTTCACGATAGAATGCTATGTATCAAAGACATACTTGACTCACAGTAACACTTGGAAAATTATTAGAAAGCAAGAAAAATTTAGTTATGCAAGAATTTAAGTATATATTTCTCTATTTATATAGTATTTTTAGCTTCATCAGCAAAAATAAATAGGCGTAAACCTCCGCAAGTTTTTACGCGAGCGTAAACTTACGAAAATTTACAATTA